TTTCCAAATTTCTGTATTTTGTTACCTTTGACATTCATTCAAGGGAATATTCTTCTGTACTATCAAATATATTTGAACTAGATAATTTTCAGTGGATTACATAACTTTGTGGTTCTTTTTGAGTCTTTCATAAGTTTTTATGTTCCATTTGGTTATGATTTTAAGGCACTCAGTTCTTGACTAGTCATTTGTCATTGGTGGCAAGTTTTCACTTTTACTCCTATGAGTGTATGTGGCAGTTAGTACCAAGTCCAAGAAAAATGTGGAAATATATTCTACTCTTAAAAACAAACAAAAATGTAAAAACACTTAAGATACAGCATGAGAGAGAGATGTTTAGCCTTGTTAACATACTGTATTTGTTTGTAGGTGTAACAACACCCAAAGCCAAATTCAGTATGTTCTTTGAAGAACAATTATCTCAGGCCCATGATATTCCTTTGGGTAGACACAGGTTTGTCTTCACTGCCTGTTCAACGGTATCAGTGGTGCAGGCCCAGAGGAAACGGGGCTTAGCTGATGTTCACGTAATAAATGCAGGTGAAATTCTGCTGAAAGATCTGTAACCCCAGCTGAGGCTCCTGTGTTTGAAGTCTTTTGTAAACAATTACACTGCTTGCTAATGGGACATTTTCTCATAGTCCTTTGTGGGAATTGACTTGTACATATGCTGGTGAAGAGGTTGTACTTGAACAATACAAAGTTGAATTTGAACTTAAAAAAATTACTAGTATACCATATAAATTATTTCTAAAACTTTGTGTTTTTATTTTTTAGTTTCTTACTGATGGAATGCTGGTCAGGGAAATGATGATTGATCCATTGTTAACAAAATATAGGTAAATGTGTTTTTTTCCTATGATAACTTTCGTGAAGTTTCCAAAGTCCACAAACAGATTGAGAAGCAGTTGTGTTAGTAGCTGGGATTCATGTCTGTGTTCAGCTGCCCCAAAGCGTTTCTCTTGACCTTGGCTTTTGGGATCCTTGATGTTTGTCTCAGAATTTAGGTGGGATAGTCTCTTACAGACAGTCAAAAATGTACACATTAAAATCGCAGTCATTATTTAAAGTCTGTCGATTTGTCCTTTTTGTCTTGCCTCTGTCACACCCCAGGATTGAAGGTGACTGCAGAGAACTAACTGGCCAGTGTTCTGTTGACTGTAATACACGGAGTCCAAATACTTATTTGTCACTTTCTCCCTCATTGTGTGTCTTTGTGCATCACTATAGCCTTAAAGCTGTCCCACCCAGACTCTGGTGTTCTGGGAGAGGATGTCACATTTGACTGTCTGGTACACATGCATCACAGCTGTGATCACCTGCCTTTTTGGCTGTCTCTAAAGCTTAACAGTCTTCAGGTGGTTGAGCCTTGTTCTGATTTTTATGTACTTTGTGGGGTGATAGGTTATGTTGTCATTTAAAATCAGGCACTAAATCCTATTGGAATTCAGTGTGGATGGTAAAACTCTAAAGATAGCAATAATATACCATTTTTTATTAAGGTATATTAATGTCACCATTTTTATTAGCTTAAGAATTACCTCATTGTCAAAGAGGAGTGATTTGGGTTTACATTTGATACAAGGTGGTTGCATGAGGTCTAAATACCCAGAAGTCCCTCTGATGGTCTAGGTGATGTTACGTGGGGTTGTTTGTTTAGGTGCTCACGGAGAGCTTTCCTCTGATTCTTAGCGCCATCATGCTGGACGAAGCTCATGAGAGGACCTTGTACACTGACATTGCCATTGGCTTGCTAAAAAAGGTATGCCTTCGCTGCCAACTTTTTTGCTTGTGTGTTTTTGTTTTGTTGCCTGATTAAGAAAGTAATTGTAGCAATTTGGAAAATCTAACAAAATACCAAGGAAAAAAATTAAAATCATCCATAATCCTACCCATTCAGAAAAAAATCACTGGTAGAATCTTTGTATGTTTTGTTTTCTGTGTTGTGTGTCTGTGTGTATATGTGCATCCGTTTTAGCATGATAGGGATTGGATTATATGTGCTAGTTTGTATCTTGCATATTTCACTTAACATTATATCAAGATCGTTTCCCTGTGTCCTTAAATATTCTTTGAAGACATTATTTTTAATGAGTATGTAATTACATCTCTACCATAAAGTAACTCTTCCCCTACTGTTAGCCATTTATATGGCTTCCAGATTTTAAATATTTTAAATACTGTTGCAGTGAGCACTTCTGTAATTAAATCTGTTTCATTTTTGTTTCTCTCTCTTTTTTTTTTTTAACTTTTTATTATAAAGATTTCAAACATACATCAGAGTAGAGAGAAAGGTATAGTGGTGACCCCCAGGTACCCATCATGTGGTTTCATCAATTACAACTCATGGCCAATCTTCTCCACCTTACCTCTACTCTGGCCTTCCTTCCTGTATCTTCTAATTGTTTGTTCTGACAAATTTCCTATCACAAGACTCTAGAAAGAAGTTGCGGAGCACGGGCTCTAGGTTAGACTGCCTGGGTTCAAATCCCGACTACTGAGTTTACGCATCTCTAAAATGAGGTTAATAGTAGTCTCTGTATCTGCACCTGTGTCTATTTAGATTTAAGTTGAATAAAATTGTAAAATTAAGTTTCTCAATCACACTTGCTGTATTTCAAGGGCTTTACAGCCACATGTGGCTAGTGGCTTTTGCATTTGACAGTGCAGATAAGGAGCCTCTTCATCACTGAAAAGCTATTCGATTGGGCAGAGCTGCTCTATATCATTTGTTCTAAGGCTTAAATAAGGTGTTGTAAAATCTTAGGATGGTGCCAGACATAGGGTCACAACTAGACTATGAGGTGGAAAATAGAAAAAGATGTCCCATCTGTCCATAGCTAGGTGAGGGGAGGGTGGGCTGGATTTCAGATGCCCCTAGCTTCCTTAGCCCAGCATCTTTGTGTAGAGTGTGCACTCTACAGCTGTATGCAGGGACTCTGGAATAGCACATAACTCAGTCTGTGTTAGCTGTCACTGTTATTATTGTCATTATTATTTTATTCCTTGGCCAAAGATTTAGACTTTTTGATACTTACGAGGAATTATCCCACCAGGTTATTACCTTTTCGAGGAACAGCGTAATAAGAGGTCCTATTTCGCTGAATATTTGCCAACACTGAGTATTAGCTTTAAAAAAAATAAATCCTTGCCCATGTGATAGATTAAAAAAAACTCGTTATATATTTTTGCTGTAGCTTAATTTGATCATTTCTCTTATGCTTGTTGATTATCTGTTTCTTTGAATAATTGTTAATATCTTTTGTCCATATTTCTGTCTTGGTGCTATCATTCATTGTTTGGTTTTGATATACTTTTTCATATTTTAATTGTATATACGTAGATT